AGAAACGAGGGATGGATGGGGGAGGGGAAGAGAGAAAGGAAACTGAGTTACAGTGAAACAATATAATTCACAATAAAAGTCATTTATTTCAGGGAAATGACAAGAAAGACTGACCTTACAGTGTATCATGTACGTCACATATTATTGTACTGACGATTACCTTGAAGCAGAGAATGTTTCTAAACGTTAATAATAAATGTCAAAGCAAACACAGCCAAATCTAAAATTTGGATATATATATATATATGCACTATATGGTTGCAATTTATTTATCATTATTATTATAGTTACTATTATTATCACCATTACTATTTTTATCACTGGTATTTGGAAATGCAAAACAAGAACAAAGAAAGCAAAAGAAAGCCATACACTCCGACAGAACTTGGCAAGGACAAAAACAAAGCTAAACATTCTGTCAAAGAGAAACTTGAAGATAAACATTCTGTCAAAGAGAAACTTGAAGATAAAGATTCTGTCAAAGAGAAACTTGAAGATAAACATTCTGTCAAAGAGAAACTTGAAGATAAACATTCTGTCAAAGAGAAACTTGAAGTTAAACATTCTGTCAAGAGATACGAACCTTGGGGGCTTCAAAACAAGCAGGGCAGTTCTCTGCTATAACTGGCAGCTTGTTCTGTGGAGGAACAGTCCACATTTGTTTGAGTTTTAGGCCTCAATCGACACAGTTTGGATTATTACAAGGTGGACTGCCATGACTGTGACCTTGTCTGTCAAGGCAATCTTCAAGCTGAGTGGGATAAAAGGTCTAAGTAGAGAGATGGATATGTAACATGCATTCTTTAACGGAAATCTAACGTTCATCTTCTGCGTGTAACAACAAGGCACCTAACTGCAACACTAAAGATGTAAAAAACCCGAACTGTGAGCTGATCCTTGTAGATATAGACGGAGATTCTAGATAAAAATGACTTCCTTACAGTGGAATCAAACACATCTTCAGGGTAAAGGGGCAACAAACATAACCATTACACCACCGATGCTAGTCTGCCTCAAAAGCATCCATAATGCTAATCCAGAAAGCAACAAAAGACATCAAGTATCAAAAACTAATAACTACTGTTACAAAAATGAAACAAAACATTCTGGCACACTTTCTTCTGAGGCCAAGGGCAATTTCTGTCATAAAGTTCCAGAATAACATCGCTTTGTTTTACCTTTTCAGCAAAATGTCTGAGGTCTGCTTCACGAACGTAAACAAAAGGACGGATCACTCGTAAATCTCCCTGCCTGAAATGGAAAAGATGATGCTGTTATTTTCTGCCTCGCAAGTCTCATTCACCAAAAAAAGACATGATCTTAGATTTTAAACTTACAAAGACTTTGTGTCAAACAGATTCAAGTGTGAGGTAAGCACTGTTTTAGTGAAGTCTTCTCAAAGTGGGGAAAAAAAAATTACATAATGAATGAGACTAAATAATATTAACAAAAACCCCCCAAAGAAAGAAGCACACAGGCACAGGATTGACATTCACTTACTTGACTGTGTAGTGAGCCTTCATGGTGGTCAGGCTCCCGTTGTGGAAGAAAGACATGAGGAAACTGAAACAGAAAACAGAAGAAAAAAAAATGACTCCACAGAAAAATTTTCCAGATTAAAAACACAAAGTAAAATAAATGAAATGCTACTCAGTCTCTTTTCAAATCAAATCAAACTTGTTAAAGGACCTTCTTTTCATTTGCAAAGGACATGCTGTTTGTTTGAATACTGTTTAAAAGAGAAGCTATTGACACAATTATGATAATTTACAGCATGTAAAACCTAAGACAGACAAATATTTTCTCCAAGATTTTCAGGTGGTGCCCTCCAACCACCTGTTTCCAAAGGATGTTTTGATTTTTATCCTCAGACCTCACAGCTTGATTCCTTCTCTATAACAAATAAGTCACAAATACTATTTCCACGAGAATTATTTTTTGGTCCAATACATCACAAAAAATCTGATGTAGCTATGATAAGAGATTTGAAAACTTCTGTACAGTTCTATGGTTGTCCCTGACAGCATTGCTGTCAAAAGTTTTCCAGACTACTTTTTGGGAAGGGGTATAAAAATTGTCCAGCTGTTTGACGTCCTTTCCAGCCTTGCATCTCCAGTGTCAGATCAGACATCGAGAAGAACGCAAAGCGCCCATAATACTCTCAGAGGCATTCTGTTAAACAATGAGCAGGCCACCTTCTGCAGTGGATGGACAAAGTCTAACATATGATGTTTGACATTGTGGGCCCTGACCTTTCACTGAGGTCATCCAAGTGTTGTCCCAGAGCCAGGACATTGTATCCCTCCCTGCGGGCAGCGGCGTAGATCCGACCCCGTTTCATGCGGCTACAGAAGCTACAGATGGAGGCACACTCATAGGGCAGGTTCTCAGCAGTCTCCAAGATTCCTGAAGGGGGTGGGGGGAGGTGGAAAGGAAAGATAAAATAGCAATTACAAATTTGTAGATTTAAAAAAACAAACTAATATTTGATTTTCGTTTATAATGTTTTAGTAAGTGTTTAGTTTTTTAGTTTTAGTAGAGGTTTTACAGCGTTCACAACTGCATAAGGTCATATGAGCACCAGAAGATTAGAGGTGTTACAAGAGAGCAACAAACAGACAAAATAAGGAGAGATAAGGACAACAGACATTCGATAGGAAAGAAGGATCAAACCAAACCACAGTATCCCCCAACCACCTACTTGACTCTCATGGGGAAATTTGGTTTACAATGACACAAATACAAACAAAAATACTGTAATTCATCAATTTTATTTAATATGCAAAGTGACAGCAACACAATTACTCAATACGTTATTGGTAGCTGCCACTGTGTATCGCCCACTTGGTGAACAACAAAACCCATTCTTGAATACATCAACATTGATTTGTGAACTCATGACAACACATGAAATCCAAAACTCCTGTGCTAACCTTGAGACTCGTAGAAATATGGGACACCTAAGGTAGCTAGATAGGCCTTCAGAGGGCTGGGGTCATAGGCTGGGGTCTGGGGGTCAACAGTCACCGCTCCAAGGTCAAAATGAATGCCCTGATGAAAAAAACAAACAGAAACAGAATCACACTATATGCAATATAAAAATCAAACAATGCAACAAAGCAACCTTTCTCAATAATTCTCAGTATATGGAAAGAAAAGAGAGTACAGAGAATGGAACTCTTACAAAGAGATTTAACAATACTTTTTTAAAGTAAGTCATTTCGTTTTTGAACACAAAAAGTGTGAAAAGAAACATATATCAGAAAAACACATGAATTACAGACCCAAATAACTACCATAAAAAAGATATGAAACATTTTACTCCTGACCCACCCTGACCCCTGATTGACCTACCTTTCGCCAGGTGCAAAAACTAGCTGCCTCATTGTCAGGAACAGGGAGAATAAGTTCTTTTCTAGGGGTGACCTACCATCCTCTGACATAACCCATCCCTGACTCACCCGACCTCTGACCCCTGATGAACTTACCTTCCCCCTTGTGTAGAACTGTAGCTGTCTCATGGTGTGGAGAAGGGAGAGCGAGTCCTTTCCCCCGGACAGACAGACCAGCACACGGTCACCATCTCGGAGCATGCCGAAGTCTTCCAGGGCCTGGCACATAAAAAACAAATGTGAGGAGTGCTGACAAAATGAGTTACTTCTCGCAATCCACAAATGGAGATATTGGCCAAAAATCAACATTAGGGTCAAATTTGTAGATTTCCTATTGGTGCCATGTTCATTAACTATAACCTGTCTTTTATTATTTCATACATGTAAATTGTAAAAACTTCCCATATCTATTTCCTGAAGGCTTGAATCTGAGAAGTAACTCATTTTGTTAGCACTCTTCACATATTGTAGAACATTACATGCCTACAGATTTGTTAGAATCTTGATCAAACAGTTAAAAGTTTATCAGAAGGTCCCAAAATGAAATGCAAAAATTTAATGTTTCATGGAAATGCTTACTTATGTGAAACATAAAAGTAAAATGTAGAACAGAGGCCAAAATATTTGCATTGGAAAATTTTCGACAGAAAACTAATGCAAGCAATGAAAAAGTAAAAATGCTCAACAGAAAATATTAATACGAGAAATCGAAAAAAAAATGTCAACAGATATGGAAATATATGCAAACAAAGAATTATAATACACATGTACACGTTCAGACGCTCTACGGACAAAAAGTCACTCTACATTATGACAATATGAAAATGATTCACAAACAAGAGCCATTTCAAAAGCAAAAGTCTGGGTATAAGGGAGCAAGATTCTGCCATATTGGTACACAGACACAATGAAAACTTGAAGCAGAAATATTTTACATCTAAGCTTATTACTTACGCTCACTGTCGGTTTGAAGATGTGCTTCGGTGGGGAATACCACTTCACTGCCACTGGGCTCTCCCCCTCTCCGCTGGTAGATGCACCCTTCCCAGAAACCTCTCTGTCCTTCTGTTTCCTCACGAGGGGACAGAAAAACGTTGGCTTTTCATTGGTCGAATCCGGTTGAGGTATCTCTCCATTAGACAGTTGGCCATGTTTATCATTTCCTTTACCATCACCATCTGAGCGCATGATACTCTTTGGATCAGAGACAGAGTTCTCAGGTTTTGCTGAATCATGTGTAACACCAGGCACGACAGGGAGAGAAAGGCTAGCACCGTTTACTTCTGGCCCAGTTCTAGCATTTGTAGAAGAAATATTTTTATCAGAAGCAATACGGCAGACTGTGTTTTCAGTCTGACTGTGATGAGAAGAAGGTTGTAACTCACTCTGTTGCAGTGAAACATTTTCTTTTTCAACGTCGCTGTTATTCATGTCTGACTCACTTCCTGTCTCACCACAAGCCTTCGCCTCATTGTCTGTTTTCGTCAACTTTTCACTGATATCTGTTGTTGTTTTCAATCTAGCATTTTCAACATTCGACACATCTGACACATTAGTAAACCCATCTGAAGCAGCTGGGATGTCCTCTTTGAACCCTTCACTAAGAACTTCAACAAAACCTTTTGAGAATGAAGCAACAGCTTCTTTCTCTGAACCCTTCACATGCTTATCACCACAAGTACCAGAATCTTGTAGAGAAACTGAAGAAGATCTTTCCGAATCGGCACTCTCAGAGGCCGTACGTCTCTCCAGAGATTCTTCCACAAACCCAAGCCAGTCTAGGAGTCCAGGCGGACAGAACGGAAGCTCGAGAGGTGACACATATCGTGGTTGTCCCCCATGGAGACAGGCATTGGCCTCGCTGGGCAAGAGGAACCAGCGGAATGTCTCAGCGTGCTCGTCAAACATGACGCTCTGGTCGGCCAGCTTGTGTCTCAGCTGTGGAAAGGAACATCACAAGATTTAGTTTTAGTTTTAGGAGAGGTTTTACGGCGCTCGCAACTGCATAAGGTCATATGAGCGTCCCAGAAGATTAGAGATGTTACAAGAGAGTCACAAACATAAAAAAGAAGAAGGGGAGATAAGGACGATAGATGTTTGATAGAAGCAAACCACACCAGAACACCTGCCAAACACCCACTACAACATTACAAGAGAACAGGGCGTTAACAATCATTAATTGTCAGTGTTTAACTGACATTTCTATACAGTGGGGATTTGTAAGAGATGGCACCTTCAAATTTAGAGTCCGTTTTCAGTCCCGTGGGCCATACCATGAAGGCAAAAATAAAAACCTTTGAAAGTTCCCCAAACTACAACAGTTCATAAAACGAAATTGAGGGTTTGAACCTGGGTCCACTACACCATGATACCAACTGAATGCTGAGAGAATGATGCCCCCCAGTCAAATTTTATTCTGAAGTAGAAGCGCATTCGAATTAGTAGAATTTTCTGTTGGGAGAAAAAAAATCCATGAACTTTTACTACAAAATTGTATTTTTTTTAATGGTGGCTAAGTGAAACTTATCTACAAAAAAAAAACTTGTGCCAAAATCATGACACACAAATCTGGACCCAAGCAGACAAAAATTGCACTTGCCCATCCCTCTAAACTGTACTACAATTGTCAAAGCATCAAATCCACGAAATTTCAGTGAGCTTTAAATGAATGAATGAACCTTCATTGATCTCTGGACATAAAGTTGACATGGTCATTTTCATGGGTTGACACCTATTTCATGCCTTCATGCGTATATATATATATATATATATATATATATATATAACACCTTCCACGAAATTTCAGTGAGCTTTAAATGAATGAATGAACCTTCATTGATCTCTGGACATAAAGTTGACATGGTCATTTTCATGGGTTGACACCTATTTCATGCCTTCATGCGTATATATATATATATATATATATATTCTCTTCTCACACATTTCTGCAAATGATAGTCAGAAAACTACAATTAAAACATTCTTCTCCACTACTGAACACCACTCCCTCTGCTGCCAAGAATAAAGTGAGGGCACATGTACACAGTCTCTTTTGCAAGGTCATATGACTGCACCCAGGCAAGAGAAGTGGATAATTTACCTTTTGAGCTTGAGTAAAGATGTTTCTGGCTTTATCAAGACAATCCTGGAAAGAACATCAAATAAACACCTCAACAAATTTGACGACTTTTAAAATTATTATGGACAAAGGGGGAAAAATATGCTGATTAAAAAAAACTGCCCAGTGCTTTGATAATAGAGCTGAACCTTCTCTAACAGCCACCTGTCAAAGTCGATTGCCTTTACAAACGACCACGTCCCACTTCCCCCCTTGCATCTCTTCTATAATATAACTATAATGACACTGTCCAAGACATTCTGTAGTGTGTGACAAACACCTGCCCAAGACAAACATTTTTCTCCTCGACCAAGTTAGTCACCCTTACAAACAACCAAGTCCCCCCTCCCCCTTTGCACGTTTTCTATATTATAATGACACTGTCCAAGATGTTCAGGAGTGTGTGACTAACACCTGCCTAAGACAAACACTTTTTTCCTCAACCATGAGTTTATGTCTCGGACAATTTTGACTATACATTGGATGAAGAAGACAAACGTTAATCATGAGAAACAAAAAAAAAAGAATCAAATGGAACGTTTAGCTCTCTGATACTTCTTCATACAGATATTTCTTCAGTGTACAAGTAATATTGTGGTCATTTTAGTTATATAAGAGCAGGATTCATGTATGAATTATTATCACTTTCAGTCTCTTCCATTGGCAGCCACCATCAATTTCCTCAAGCACCAGACTTAAGGTAAACAAACTTTGAACACTAACAGTTCACCTCCCTCTCGGATGAAAGGTTCATCTCTCGACCATTTACAAGGTCAGCTACTCATCCATGCACATGGACTGCCATTCAATTAACCACAAGTGCCAGTCGCCTGGTTGGTCACATATTTGGTCAGTTACACAGTCAAAGTGTCAATCAGCCATCAGTCATACATTAAAAAAGTCAATTACACAATCAGTCCAACAGTCAAAAAGGCAACTATGCAGTCACTCCTATAGTCAAAAAGGCAACTAGACGGTCAGTCCCACAATCAAAAGTCAATCATCAGGTCAGTCACGCAGTCAAAAATCAATTACCCAGTCAATCACATGATTAGTTTATAATTGCCAAGTCAGACCAACCTGATAGGAGGAAGGGAGAGGTCCCTTCACATGCTGTGGGGGCGTGTGGTATTTCATCTCTCCGTTCTCATAAGAAATGTGGCCTAACCACTTGCGATCTTTGAACGTCTGCAGACAGATATACACAGCTATAGAGACTACAGTATACTTTTTTGTTTGTTTCTTAACCTCAATTAAAACAGCAAAATGATGTGGACACTTTTTCAAAGTACAGCTAAACCCCAAAAGTGATAATTCTTCTATTTTCTTTTTTTTTAAATCTCAATTAAAACAGCAAATTAAGGTGGAACATTTTTCATGTAAGTCACAGTAAGTATAACATGACTTGAAAATTATCATTCTTTTTCTTTTAAACCTCAATTAAAACAGCAAAATGATAAGGAAAATATTTCAGATAACACTATTGGACTTCCATCTTGTCCTTCCGTTACAAACTCACTAGTTGTTGTTTTTTTGGCAGATACAAAACAAGCATAAATAAACATACAAAAGTCAGACAAACTAAACATGTCAATTGTGTTCACAAAAAAACGTACCTGAAAACTTCTCTGTCTCCACTCTCCTGTCTCTGGATTGAACAAATACTGAAACAAAATTGTAATGAATGGGAATATTTTATGACACCATCGACACTACTTGTTCTACAAAAGGCAAGAAGTGAGTACCATCCTACTTTCAAACCCCCCCCCCCCCCCCCAAGATCGATTATAACAGCAACTACAACTCTCATCCCTTCTTCTTCTTCCTCGTTCTCGATGACAGCAGCTAGACAGTCAGTCCGATGTCGCGTACAAACTGTGTAGTTCGCTAACTCTCATCCCAAAACACTCCCCTCTTTCTCTGCCTTGTCCACTTGCTTTCTCTCAAACACATGTGCTCGCAAGCACATGCATACACACACAGACAAAACAAACTCATATACCCACACAGGAGGTTACAGCACAGAGCCCGGGTCTGCCACAATCCTCACAGCATCAAACACAAAGTTTTCACACACACAGACAGACATACATACACACACACAAACACACACATTCACACACACATACACAGACATACATATACACACACACACACAAACACACTCATAGCCCCTTACCAGAAGCAAAAGCATCCAGCCCTGGTCAGCCACCACCCTCATCGCCTCCAGCATAAAATCCATACACACACACAGACAAACATAGACACACATAAACACACACACTGACAAAAAACACACTCATATCCCCACACCTGAGGCAACAGCATCCAGCCCCGGTCAGCCACCATCTTCACCGCCTCCAACACAAAGTCCACACACTCTTCATCCAGGAAGTAGGGAAGATTGATACGCACAAAACCTGGCCTGAGAGGAAAAATCAACAAAAATGTTTGGTGTTGGTTATTGTACAGATTTAACTCTCCTTTCAACACTGAAAGGATACTTAAGAGGCAGGGACTTCTGATTTTAACATCCATCTCTGATAGGACTCAGCCAAATGGGTGGATAACCTTTAAAACTCTCTGAAACAATCCAACAAGTTCAGAACACCCCATGGAGGACACGATAGAAGTTTCATGGGAAAGAAGGAGCAGAACACATCAGAGCATCCACCAACCACTCACCTCGGTCAAGAAGAAAGGAAAATAGAAATATGATGGAGAAGAAAAAGGAGGACAACACCAAAACTTCCACTAACAACCAATCACGATTGTTCACCAAACATACCTCAAGATTTCTCTGTGCGAGTACTCCCCTTTCCTCCTCAGATGCACACGATCCAGTCGGCTGTAGGGACATAGAAACACAGCAGATGTAAGTAACTTTGATCACTTCACAGAACCAAAGAAGAAAACAGCAGATAAGTTTTTTAGGTATCAAAATTTCTTAACAATTAGCGTGAGCCACTGATTAGAACCATTTTTGGGGTGGTGACGTAGGCTGACCACAAGTAGTAGTCTTGAATTACAGGTGGTTGCTTTGAACGACCTTTAAAATTTAATAAGTAACATAATAGTGCAACCCCTCCCAAATAAGCTTAAAGCCATACTTATCTCTAAACTTTAGACAAGTTGAACATGAGCTTTTTACTATGCAGAAGTTAGTGTAAGTGCCACTGGTATATTTTAACTCCTAAAATACAGAGGGCTATTTCATGTGTGAAAACAACCAGTATTGTATTTGTTTTCCAATATTTACTCACCACAAACTTCATCTTAATTCTGCTAATACTTCACCCATTTGCTTAAAATTAACACCAAAACTGAGTAGAAATGAACGCTCAATGCAACAAACATACATTTAGATTATAAATAACATGGATTTTCTGGGGTTACGTAGGATTTTGCTACCACAGTAATAAAACTGAACAATGCAGTGTGCCTGCTGAAATGGCACACAAAATATTCAGAGTTAATATCCACTTCGAAACTGAAATAATAACTGGATGCGCCCGCCCTCCCCCAAACAAAAAAACCCCCCTAAAAAGCAAGATCAAAACAAAATTAGCTCCATCCCCACCTGTCCTCAGCAATAAGCTCCTCAATCTGTTTCGCCTTGTCCTCAGTGAGACCCAGCAAGTCCTGAAACAAACATCCACAACACAACTCTGGATTGAAACGGTAGTCTTGAGGAAAACATCATGAGATGACCAATGGAAAAAAAAAAAAACTGATCCTTTCTCAGCAAAGTCAAGAGATAAAAAAACATACAGGTACATTTTAACTCATTAGACAGACACAGAAGCCAGGAGGGAACAGAGTTATTACCCGTTGCTAATTTTTAAAATTCTCAGGTCTTGACTCACTCAGACCTATAAATAATTAGAACTCTCTGAGCCGTGGTCCCACAAACTGACAGAACCCTCACACATATCCTACACAACGGCTCTGCACAATGAGGAAAGCCTTTAGGGTGTGGAAAGGATTGAGTTAGCAGGAGACAGAACACATTCCCAGGGCCTCTTGTGAATCTTAGACAAAGAACACAAATGACAATCTCAAGACATTTAGTTCAAATCAAAGAAATTCACAACAAAAGATACTTGGGGTACAAAAAATAATCTTCAATTTCTCTTTAACTTATTCCTAAAGCAACAACATGAGCACAGCACTCTCTCACTTTGCACAAAGGAATGAAGTAGCCGGCCTCCAAAATAATAAGTTATATTGTGTCGATGGAGCATAAAATATTTACAACTCACCATAGCGTAGGGTCCGGCACAAGCACACCCTCCACGTGCCTGTATACCAAACACGTCGTTGAGAACCGCGGCCACAAAGTTATGATGGAGGAATCGGCCTGTGGGACCGTGGCGGACCAGGAAGGAGAAGACAGGAAGTTTTCGCCGGACCGTTGTCGGGCCTAGCAGGACTAGATTGGGACTGTCGGACCATGCTTGTGTCGCTTTGCTGTGGCGAGAGGGGTGAGGAAGGGAGGCGGGGCAGGACCAGAACAGGGGGTTATGAAAGTTTCAGACTTTTCAAAATACTTGATAAAACTTAGCTGGTCTTCAGTTTGGAGTTTGAGTGACCAGAGGCATATAGATACAATGCCGCTCATTAAGTGAAGGGAAACAGGCAGGCAGGACAGACCGGGAGAGGTATTTCAGTTTCAGACTTTTCTAAACAGATAAAACTTGAGAAGAAAGCGAAGCATATATACACACAGGGAAAAAGCAGGGACTTAAGGGGCGGGAGGCAGCATTTCAGAGAGACTTTTCAACCCATTTATAGAAACTTAGTGAGTCTTGAGAGTAAAGAGGAAAATGTCAACATAATAAGATAAACACCAGGAAAGTTGTAATACTGATAGACAGAAACAACAGAGAGGCAATAAAGAAGTGGGAACTAGCAGTGACACCCTAATCTACCACCTCACCCACATGAGATAGGAAAAATACTCACTGAAGAAGCAAAAGATCCCTCTCTTGTATAACCTCCCAGCCTACCGCCTCCTTCAGCTGGACCACAAGTCCCGCACGGACAGAGCCCACGATGGCTGGGGTCCCGCCCTCCTCTTTCACCTCCGCCTCCTGCAGGTAGCGCTGCTGCTCCCGACGCACCTGGGAAGGGTTCACAACCAGACGATAAGTCAACAACAGTCATCAAGTTGTTTGAGCGAATAAGAGAGAAATACACTATGAGTCTTATATACCCTTATCTTATGAAAAAGTATTTATTTCCTAGCAATATGGGATGAGTTTCATGACTGTTACTAACAGATAAAAAATTTTCCCCATTTGTGTGTTCAAACCAACACGCTTGAAATACAGTTGAAAAGCCACCCAAGTATCCAACATAATTAGCAGTACAAACGACCACTTCCCCCCTTTAAATCTTTCTACATTATTATGACACTGTCCACGATGTCCACCTGTTTCTTGAACAATTTCGACTGTACTCACAAAAAAGACAGATCCCCCTCCACAGCCATGAGGCACAGGGTTCCGGAACAGATTTTTCTTGGCTATCAGAACCCCTGTGAGAAGAACAAGCAAAGAGAAATACAAATCCATAGCACAGCAGAAAGTTGTGTCCTTGAAAGGTGAAATTATCTTTTTAATTTTTATGTTGTTATGTCAAAACTTTGATTTCTCTTAACAATAAACTAGACACAACCTGACAAGTTGTTTATCGCTGTTATTACCATTACAATCATCATTTTTATTATTACTATCATCTTCACTATTATGCTTATTTTATGATAATCTTCATTTTCATTATTGTTATTAGTATCAGATATTTTTACCATTACAATATGTGTCCCTGCCGGTCAATACCCATCATATGAAGGAAATTTCGAAACTGAGTTAACATTATTTTAAATAACTACCACCTTTTCCCTACAATTTAAAACAAGAATAAAGTAAATATGACCATATTTGACGAAAATAAAGAACTTTTAATTGTGCGAGGTGAGGAAACATGAAAAGGAGAAAATGGCTTCCGAAGTTGAGCAACATGTTTAAATAGCAATGGGGGTCTTAAAATTGAGATAGAGACTTGAAATTTATAGTCAATTATAGTCCTTTATTTTAATTTTAAATGAAGCAGAAGACATGAAACTTTCAATTGATCCAAAAGACAAAAATTTCATGAAGAGTAACTTTTTTTTACTTTCGAGCCTCTTAGGTGATAATAGCACACTGCGTCTTATGACTGATATTGACCAGAGGAGACAGATATTATGATTATTGTTATCTATTATCTATTTGTTGTGGCCAAATTTTGCTATTCAAAATGCTTTTTAATGGCTGCATCGATCGACATGTGGTTTGCGCCAAAAGATTCGTTAAAATATTCTCCAGATCATGACGCCCTTCGTTTTTTCAGTTTTGAGACAGTTTTGCTGCAAAATGCTAAATTTCTTTATTTCGCCGCTTTTGTCTCTATAATTTTAGAAAATCCGTACTTCTGTTCGATACTATCTCGCATTGTCGCGCAATACTGAGCACTATTTTAAGTGTGCGAACCGTATAGATCTAGCCTCATGTTTTACTTGGTGGGTCTAAAACTTCCGAACCACTTAACTTTTGAATTTGAAAAAAAATAACGGTGCTTCAGAATCATCTATAGGGTCCACAGTTATATTCCTGAGTCTGAAGTCACTGTTGTTTAATTTTCAGTTTTTCATTAGTTTCGTTTAGATCTAATCTTGGGAAAGTCCATCTTCTAAGACACCATTGTAAACAAGTCAGGCTTCCGTTCACAAGCAGTGCACACTGGTTGAACAATGACTTGACGATTGATTCTTATGAGTCCCTACATCGAACGGGGTACCCAGCTCGTTATTACTATTATCATTGTTAATGTTACTATTATGATCACCATCACCATCATCATTATTACTATCATAAATTAGTATTATTATTACTATTATTATCGTTATCATAATTTTTGTTTTGTTTTTGTAAAGTGTTTTACGGCGCTCGCAACTGCATAGGTCGTTTGAGCGCGCGGGACACACCTAATATTTTCAGTTGGTAGGAAATTTTGAATTTTGCCCGGGTGGCGGCCGAAGCCTACTCTTATCGATTTTAGACCACCAAGGGATCTTTAACGTGCGCAACTTGCACACGGGCCCTCCGAGATTTTTTGCCCTTGTCCGAGAAGGCTAGGTGTAGATCTTTCCTACCAGAAGATCAGGGGTGTGGCAGAAAGACAGCGGTAAGGGGGGGCCAAGGAGTAGCAGTAGAAAGGCTGCAGAAAGAGTCAGGAGCCCAGAGGAGGGGGCAAAGGAGGTGAGGGGATGGGGGCAGAAAGTGGAAATGAAAGCAGACAACAGAACATTGCTAGAGAGCAGGAAAGGAGGTGAAAGGAGACAATTTTAGAGAAGAAAATTTTTTGGTCGCTACCCAGATTCAAACCCGGGACCTTTGAATGAGAGGCCAACACCTTAACCTTTAGGCCACGAGAGCCCCCTCATAATTATTATTATTATAACAACTACTGTGCCGTAAGCTGACAAAACACCTTTTTTAAATTGTGGTGCCAATTTTTTTTTTATTTGCTAAATCAAAAACTTAATCGGTTACACTAATTGTGTGAAACTGACAAGTTTTTTAATAAATTAGAATTTAAATTTCGGAAGAACGTCTTTTTTAAATGGTTAAATGACAAAAAGCCTCTTTATCACAAAACTGCTGTGAATGAAAAAAAAGGCATTTTGCCAACTTACTACAGTACTATCATAATCTTTACAAAACTGTTCCTTCCTCTCACCTGGTGTTGATGTACCTCCCACAAATTTGTGCACAGAGAAGTAAATGGCGTCTTTGTACACCAAGTGTTGGTTTGGTCTACAGAAAGAAATGAACGCATTGTGAGTCAATTCGTCAGTTCATAGATGGATTCCACTTCAAGCAAAAATGAAAACATGTTGAGAAACTGCTGTAACAAGCCAGGTTACGAAATCAAACTGCTAATCAAACGTTCTAAAAATTATTTAAAATATATCTTGAAAACTGATAGGAAATCAGGAATCACCACCCCTCTTTCCCGCAATACCAAACAGGACATTAGGCACGTTATTCAGGTATTACAAATTCGTTTGGAAAGAATCACTGTGCCTCTCAGATGCAAGGATTCACTTCAACCTTGATGTAGGCCTCTTATGTACCTCAAGTGTCACAATTTTGAGGAGTTAATATGGACCATTACAAGTATTACAGTTTCTACATGGCACAACTCACCTTTACCCTTCGATGTGAGGACTCATGTCCATCTTGATGTACGGCAAACTATAAAACTCAAATATTACAATTCCCACAAGATAATAATCATTATTGCCCTCTGAAGTAACGAGCCATGTCCATCTTGATCCTTTATAACTGAAGTATTACAATTTCCACGTGGTAAAAATGTGAACTTGATCCTCAAATGTCAGGATTCAAGCTGATCCTGATGTAAGATACATAATGTGACCCAAGTGTTAGAATTTCAGTAAAATTAACGTTCAATTCCCCATGCCTTTTTGCAGCACTGCAATCACAGCCCACTGTTTCTTGTCACTGTAATACAAATATGCGATTCCCATGGTGACATCGAAAGTTGTGCACTATGACAAGCGTTTTGAAAAGGAGGGCTATACTTTACTTTTGCCACACAGTTTCCATACAGTAATTATTACCCTCCAATGTAAGGATTGACATCAATCTTGATGTAAGGCGCAGCAGCAGCATAGTCCCAGAATGCCAGTGCTCCGTGTCGGTGCAGACAGATTGTCACAGCATCAGTGTCACTCAGGATACCCGTCACATTCGACGCGGCGCTAAACACACCGATCAGCTGCCTGCCTGTGTCACTATAAGCCTGCAGAGGATGGAGGTGAGAAAACAAAAAAGATCTGTTGAAGAATTTCTAAAATTCTGAAGCGAGCATCATTTTAAAAGTATTGTTACATTATTAAGGAGGCCCGACACTTAGTCTACTTCTCTTTCCCAAATGAAAACAAAGGGGACAGCAGTATAGTATCGAAGAAACAAAAATAAATCATTAGCTGCATGGGCAGAGGTAACTACTGGTTACCATGGAAACTGTGGTCATCTATGAAAACTGGTCACCATGGGAACTGTGATCATCTTTGAAATATACAAGGAAAATTAATAGATGAAGCTGTTTACAATAAAAGACGTGAAGTTAATTCATGCCACATGTCACTGCATTATATTCATTATACTTATTAAAAGTCAACAGCACTTTAGGTTAAACCAAGAACAGAGTCCATCTGTGAAACCTCAACTAAAAAAAACCCCAACATTTTCTAAGGCAAGCGGTTTACGCCCCCACTGACATACTTAAGACCACTTAGGAGTCAGGCTACTTCAATCTTGCCTGTCAGGGCCAACCCGAGCTTAGAGGGCTATAATGTGCCAGCAGACAGACAGACATTCTCAAGTAAAATTCTCCACATGCAGGAACCGAACTCAGGCCTTGTGCATGCCACAGCAAAGTTCCTAATCATTATACCACACACGCCAGTATTTCTGACTAAAGCCGAGTCTCTTCACGAACTGCCCAGAGACAAGATGAGAAAGTGGAAGTTTGCAGAGATTAGTCTCAACAATCGCCACACTTTGTCCAGTTTATTTGGGCAAAGAAAAACACATCAACACAATAATGGTGATTCAGTGCTTCAGTATTAAAAAGCAAGCTTGATATACAGAAACAACAGAGGGAAGAATATAGAAGAAAAATGTACCAGTGGCGTCCCCCGATCACCCACTTTAAAGCACAGAGAAGTAGAAAGGAAACAAAAAAACCATCGTAGGGTCCATCAACTGTACAAATACCCACAAATTGAGACGACCACCAACCTTTAGTTTCGTTTCTAAGTCCACAAGGTCAACACCCCCGTCTGCAGCTTCTCGAACACGAACAATCTGCACGAAAAACACACTGCACACATCATCACAAAAGTGGAAACCTTTTTGTTCTCTTCAAACAGAAGACAAAAAAACAAAAACAAAAACATGCTGGATGGGAAAAGATATGTCAAAAATGAAATTAAACATCATCTGAATGAATCGATTCATGTGCACAAAGCATTTTAACCTACATTCAGATACTACCTACTGACTTTTACACAACCTATGGGTAAAAAATTTGTGATACTGAATAAGAATAATCTGTTCTTCATTTGACTGTGGCAGCTATTACACTCTGCACTGAATCACTTCAACAATTTATGTAAAAGGGATAAATGTAAAAACTTGAAATTCTTAGTTAAACAGAACCCTACTGAAACAACAAAGGTTAATTAGAGGAGAGAAAAAGTAACATTGACAACAACAAAATGTGAACGCCCCCATAAACACAATTAAGATAATTTACAAGGTCAGGTGCTCCAACCCTGCTCATTTGGGCCAAACCAGGTTAAGTGGGATACCACATCCCAGTACCCAATTGAAGATACCCTATGAAAATTTTTTTTTTAAATATCAACACATAAAACAAATTCCTGTCTTCTGAAAGTAGCAGCAAATAGCCTAACAGAATGTTACAGATAGACAATAGACCACAGTAGAAACGAAAAAACAGGGGAAAAAACACTACACAATACCGCGCAATTAAAAGGTTCAATTGAGATAGCAGCCTTACTCACCTGACCCCCAGCTTCCTTCCATGGCAGAATGTTGGAGTGATGCTCGTATGGACCAGTGAACACAATCTAGAGTGAGAAAAAAGAAAAACATCAACACGACATATTTCCATGAGGAAAAGACAAATAGAGACAAACAAGGAAAGAAAATACAAAGAGGACCTACCAGTGGCGCCCTTACACCACCCAAGAAAAGAAAGTAGACCACAGCAACCGGAATGAAAATCATTTGCGATATTTCAGCAGTCATTGTTCTGGTTACAAATGTTCATGGTGCCACACTAATAATAGTTTTTGCGCCAGGTTATGAATTGCTTGTTAACTTTCACACCTTTACAAAATTAGTCACACATTTCAGTTAATTTCTGAAGCAGGGAAGATAAACAACTGCATGATAACAAACCTCATATTTACTGTACAGACTCTAACCCTACTCATATTTGATTATTGAACAACCACTGCAACATTATAGATACAAAGATAGAGGCAATAAACATGGTGTACAAATGCTGTTTCCAAACTGTGTAACTGACAAAGCACTTTTTGAGCTGTCTCAGATTTACATGACTCACCGGACTGTGCTTGAGATTGAGGCTGTGGAGTAACTTGTGCACTGCCCCGGTGGTCCCACTGCCAACGAAGATGACAGAGTCGTGCTCACTGGCATTGCAAGAGTTGCGAATGATATCCCTGAAAAAAGCAAAGTGTGGTGGTGTTAAGTTGCACATCTTTCTTTCTACAGCTTTGAAAAAATTGCTGAAAATATCCCTGAAAGGAAAAGCAAAGCTTAGTCTTACATGAAACTTTCTCCCCATAGCTTGGAAAAATTTTATTTACAATATCCCACTGGGTCGATCTCTGCATGCAGTTTGATTCTCCATTAGCCTTGTAGGATACTGTATCCCACTCAATTCACTTTAGCATCCACTGACAGGGTCAAAACAGACTGCCTCCAAAGAGATCTAAATTGTGTAAATGAGGGCATGATTAACAATCAAACTATACTACCTTCAGCAACAGATGATGAACAATGTTCTCCACCAGAGAAGCCAAGACGAACTTTCAAAATGAAAATGAGAGACATTCATTTGAGGTGCATGCATGTGTTTATATGTGGGTAAGTGAGTATTTGAAAGAGAACGTGGGTGTGTGTGCCAGTAATAATAAACATTTCTATACTAAGGCAAAAGCAAAAATATGAAAGGTTGACAGACACACCCCAAGACTCATTCTAGAAAAAAATAATCTCTTGGTAATTAACAATAGTTTTCATTTCTCACACCCACGTTCAAGGGAAGGCTACTCACCGAGCTTCGTGCCGAAACAAAGTGGTCTGGAGTGAAGTCACACTGGTGGTGGTGTGGGTGTTGCCGTACTCTGGCAAAACCTCGTCTTGGATGTACTTCTCAATAAACTCCAAGGATCTATGTAAAACACATGTGAAATGATGATAAACCAAAAATTGTATTAAATCGATGGTGTGATACTCTAATCATGAAAACTGTTTCTTGAAAGTTTTTCAAAAGCAAAAAAAAAACCCCCTTTCAATGCAAATGATAAGAAAAGCATGTCGACTCATGCTTTTAACAAATTTTTTGAAGACCTGCAGATAATAATAATAGATAGCATTTGTAAAGCGCAAATCCCCGCTCAACAGCAAGCTCTATGCACTTCACAATCTATACTATTACCCCAGCAGACTTGAGATCATTCTGAAACAAACTCAACTTCCTGGGAAGCATACAGTGTAAGCAGCCATTTATAAGTTCTAAAATACTAATATACGGATAAGATCTTTCACTGTCTATAGCCGGGTACCCATTTCCACCTGGGTAAAGTGAGGAAAATTCATGTAGAGTGCCTTTCACAAGGACACAACGTCGGGGGCCCGCGGCTCGGACCCCCGATGCCCAACCTCACGATTACAAGTCCGGTAACCTAACCACTAGGCCACCGACGCCACTCAGTAATGCTTTTAGAGCAAAAAACAAAAGAGCCGACCTATTACACAATCACCTCCAAGAAGAGCAAAACAGTTTTTTATGTAAAGATCATTTCAAAAGTTTCTCATACGTGAGATATTCTTTTGACTGAAGCTAGACATCTGGCTTCTTGCTGAAAATCTGTACAACAGCAATAACTAATTCACGGGAAGTCAGAGCCACTAAAATGAACTTTAAAGTGATACAAAAGCAACAGATGTGTTTCATCTTAAAGGTCTTACCTCCCAGAAGCCACATAGTCCAGATATGTCACTGAAGATAAAAATATATATATATATATCAGAGGCTGCATACTAACTAAACTATTCTATTCATCACGAGCAAAAACAATGATCAAATTTAATCTGATCATTAACACATTCTTCTACCCCTATTAATCAAGCTTCCTTCTCCAACCCTTAAGATAAACAGCACCCAACCTTTCACCTACACTGCAATTATAAATTAATCAATCAATTTCACTTCACTCATCCTCTTCAAATATTTGTTTTACAATGATTTACATTTTATACATCTGTACATAAATAATTACACAATATCACAGACAGGCATTCTACACACACATCAACTGGTCACCACTATGAAGCACCCTGTTTTTTAGCTAAAGCCACTGCGTCTGGCTTGAAGACACACCCCAGTGACCACCCATCAAACATTTATATATCACTAAGACACGCTTGACATAAATTGTGAACCTGAGCTCACTATAACCACTAAAACCACTAGACCCCCCAAAAAGAACAACAACAAACACACCCCCACCCTCTACAACAAGGAACAAGGACAAGTGGCATGAACCATAGGACTGCTGGACCAACAACATCAACAATTATCAATAGCAACAGTATCACATTCTCATTCTTCAATGCCAAATGAATGGAACACAAAAAGTACCTGAGATCACAAACGAACAGGTTCAAACTTTGTACGATGCATGCTGTGTTATCAGTGGTAATACTTAGTTCTTTAACTTTGAGCATAGATGAGAACCACATCAAATGATCTGCAATCTAATGGTTTTGAAAAATAAACAGCAAACCAAACAAGAGAGAAACCTGCAAGCTCTGAAACACCAAAAGGCAAATCTAAAAATTGCTGAGGCTAGGAAAGGATACAGAATTCATTACAAGAAGTACAAGAGAGAAGCATTAAAAAAAAACAACAGAGAGGAATTTGATTTGATAAAGCATGATTTTAACAAAATGTAGGTAAAACAAATAAAACAAACTCAACTAACCTTTGCGCAAGCCAAAAGGGCCGGTGAAAGTCTTGTCAACTCCAATAACATTTTTGGCAATGTACGCGCACAAGCCGGATTGACTATCAGAAGATTTTTTGGCTACTTCAGCAGGCAGTGCATCTTTCTCAATGGCCCTGGTCTGACCAAGACTTGAGCCATTTGGCACTCTGTTATAATGTTGTGACCCGAGACCATTATAAAACTCATGGCCATCTTCAGGGGGTCCCTTCGGAACCGAGTAGAACTGCCTGTCAACCGCTTCTGCCATAACCTGAAAAAAACCAGGACGAAGAAAGAAACTATAATCAGTCAGTTTAGTGGTCATAATATGGAGTGTTCAAACATTTGAGTTTTGTTTTCTTACTCTTTGAACCCTAGCCAACTGCATACTGTATACCGGAGGCGTATAAAATTGCTCGTAACATGCCTAGCCATCGGTACACCAGTGAGTGAGGCCCTCTCATCAAAATGGCCCACCTGGGACAAAACTCGCACGAAAAGTGTTTGCTACACAGGACGTTATTGATTATTTTTAAAATCTTTCTAAAATAGATGCTGGTAATGACAAGGACAGACTACCCTGAGTGAGATATGGAAGAATGTGATTCATATGATAATCATGAACAAATGAATTCAAACAAATCACTCAGGAGCTCAGGCAGAGGGGCACGGTAGCCTCAAGAGGTCAGGGCTCAAAGGGTTAACAAATTGGTCACAATTACAAATGGCTGAAATGGAGTAGGCTAGTGAGTGGTGAGCCACACAAGACGTCATGTTGTAAAAAAAAAACAACCTGGGCCTACGCCAAAAGGTGGAATATTTATTAATAGAGTTATGATAAAATATATATTATACCCAGGTGTGACAAAATCAACTTTAATAGTTAATAATCCAAATGTGTAGCCTAATTGATAGCTTTTACACTTACAGCACAATGGGCTCTTTAGATAGTCTGCAGTAAAAAGACTAACCTGTACAACAGGCTCAGTAAGATACCTTCACCAATCAAAAGATGTACTCACCAATCAAAAAATGTAGGAATGTAGGCAAGAGCTGCTCTAGCTTAGTTAAGTTACAGTTACAGAGAGTAGTTCAGTAGATCTACCCTGCACTTTAAATAAAACGAAGTGACTATTCGGACTCGAGTCTGAACAAACAAAAATTATATTCGGACTCTGAACCGAGTACAGCATAACGTCACTTCTGACACAAAAAAGGGGCCGATAGAGCAGAGTATAGATCCACGAATTTACACTAACCGACTATTACACCATTTCCTATATTTGTCGAAATTACCACACAACTAGATCTACCCTTGTTCTTAAATATTTTATGAAAAATATTTCGATTACAACGATAAAAATCGAGACGTGAGCTTTAGTATATATCTCTTCTAGGGCCTCAACCCACTTAATCGTCAATATCAGTGTCAAGGGTTGTAAATTATTCAGACTCAGACCAAATGTGCGAGGGCGTTAATCGTGTTCTAGTTCTAGTTTAATTTATTAATTTAAGCAATCCAAGCTCTTTTCTTAACTTTCATTTTTTTTTTTTTAAACTTTCTTTTTCTTGCTGCTTCTGTTCCCTACTTCTTGAACATTGGAGTTTGGAGCCAAAAAAGAGCCAGAGAGCCAAATGAAATCTGGGCCAGACGCACAACTGACAACCCTGACTGTGACTATTCGTACATGAACACGATCCAGTGAAGTGCGGAGCATCAGCCCCGGTAACCTCAGCCTTGAACCCTCTAGGGTCATCTGAGCCTGAGAGGGTGAGAATAGCGAGACAGACAGGTTATTGTTATTCTCTCCCCCAGTGAGAATAATTATAAGGTAGCGTCACACCGAGTGACGCGGTGGCAATTGACAAAAATTGACTTTTTGTCAATTGCCACTGAGTGAAGCGGTGTCAAGTCTGAAAACAACACTAGACTCTATCTTTAGCATTATACATAATGAGTGTCCAATATGTCAATTTGTTCTCAACTAATTTCATTGGATGAGCATCTAGTCTCGAGCTCCGCTACCAACTTGGCGTGTTTTCAATGAGACGTATCTAGATCTAGGCTAGCCTTAGCCTACACTTTGGTGTAGAACCACACAGGCAATTCTAGAAGTAGGCCTAGAAGGTCACAAACACACAAACTCAAGCAGAAATTCACGTTATATCGGGGAACATAAATCGGGGGACGGGGGTCAGGAAAAGACACACACACACACACACACACACACACACACACGTGACACACACAGAAGCGAACGCACAACACCGAGCACTCGAGCACAAAAGCTAGATCTACCCGCAAACGCAAAAGAGCTCCAATTTACTCGGTGGCAATTGACAAAAAGTCAATTTTTGTCAATTGCCACCGCGTCACTCTGTGGCAATTGACACTACCTAATCATAATTAAAACCACTTCCGCTATATCTAGATCTAGTTTATAATAATATAAAGGCCGGCACTATTTCTCCGAACGTTCGAGAAAATAAAGCTAGGCACTATTTTTCCGAATGTTCGAGAAAATAAAGCTGGACACTATTTCTCCGAACACTCTGAAATCATATCCTTTCACGCAAATTTCGGATATTATATAGAGTATAGGCCTACCAAATATTTTTTGTATACAATATGGTTCAATCGGTCCAAAAAAATGTCCGCAGTAAATATTTATATAAAGAAATGCTACAGTTCCAAACAGTTTTTCGCCACAGATATGACGTGTCGCCTATGAAGGGTGCTGCTCTTAAACTTAATGTGTTGTGTTCATTCGTGTGCTGTCTAGATCTAGATCTACGGAGGATTATTGATAACGACACATAGAACTAGCTTCTGCGTTTTTGTCACGGCCGCGACCAATCAATCGTGGCTCGATTTTTTGGCATTTTTTGGACGGGGAATAAAAGTCAAATTTAACCGAAAGAAACCGAACCTCTTTACTTTTGAAAAGAAAGTTCACTTAGCTTCACTTAGTCTCTTTCTCACTTGTTGTCACCCCGTTGATTTATTGAATACGTTACAGTTACTTTTATTTTTCCCTCTTTGAATCTTTGTGGTGTTTTATTTTGTTAGTGTGTACTTTTTTTTTCTTGTTATTGTTCTGATGTGTTGTTTTTCTATCAATTTTTTTTGTTGGGGAAAAGGGGGGGGGGGGGTGTAGCATAGTGTAACGTCATTTAATTTGGTGTTCCTACCTTCATTAGATTCTAAATATATATACATGTACATGTATATATATATAGATTTAAATGTCTTATGTTAGAGCGTACTTCCACCAAAACCGATTACATGGACTGACACTGTGATTCCATAATTTACATGTAATATCCTGTACTTTTAAAAAAATTTACGCACATTTATGGTTAAAACAGCGAATCTTCTTCGGACAGGTGGACACACGCCCTTATTTGTTAATTTTTGTGGTTGTTTATGGGCTGTTCTAATTTTGATTTCATCCTGTTGTGAAACCTTTCTTTTTCACGTTTTTACACTCATCTAAAAATCTCTAGACTAGCTCTTGAAAATTGAAATAGATATAGACCCAAAAATTTGCTCCTGTGTGTGTGTGTGTGTGTGTGTGTGTGTGTGTGTGTGTGTGTGTGTGTGTATGCATGTGCGTGTGTGAGTGTGTCTGTGTGTGGTAGTAAGTGTGTAAGTGGAGAGTGAGGAGTGTGTGTGTGTTTATTTTTCGGGCTTTATTTCAGACTTTATTCAGTAACATGACAGTTCAAAGTATACAAAAATAGAAACACAGGATCCATTCACTCCAGGGCTCATGAGTCGTTCCTCTCTTTCAGTGTCACTCATCCATTCAATTCCCGTGTTCTCTCCCGCGGCTCATATCCCCGTCCGCATGACTTTCACACCCCACCCCCTCCCTCCAGGCACACACTAAGAAAATCTCACTCATTCCCTTGCACCCTGCGAACCATGGACAATAATATAGGCAAAACACTGCCTTAGCCACATTCCTTTTGTTCGTGAGCTGTGGACCAGGCCAGGGGGGGTCGGTGTCGTCGTCTTGTAGTTGCTGTCGCCTGTGGATACACTCGTACATTCTTCCTTTCACCCGCTCTTTCACTCACACTGTCTCTCCATCCACAGCTCAGCTCATCATACGTTCAAAAGTTGCCCACTGATCATGTTTAGTTAGTGTGTGTATAAGTTTGTGTGTGTACATGTTCATGATGGCGGTGGGTGTGTGGTGGGTGTTACTGAAGGGAGTATGTAGGCGGGCTTGCCATGCGGTGTTCCTTCCCAGACCAGAGGCCAGAGGGGCGCCGAACTCTCGCAATAAATATAGGCAAAAAATCACGAGACCGGAAGCCGGAAACCGTTCGGAGAAATAAAGATCGGCACTATTTCTCCGAATGTTCTGAGGAATAGTCACTTCATAATATAAAGGCCGACCGGTGATCTTGTAGTTCCGTTCGTTAAAGTCCACGATCCATTTGTTTACATCCAGAGAAGAAATCCAGAAGTCTTGAAGACAAATACTATTTGAATTAGGCTACACAAAGAGCAGGGATGCAACCTAACTGCAAAACATCAAATTAGGATAAAATTCAGGGGGGCATGCCCCCCTGAACCCCCCCACCTCCATGGTTTTTTTAGGTCAGGGGAGCAAGCCCCCCTGAAACCCCCCTGCTTGACTTTAACGAACGAAACTACAAAATCGCCGGCCGACCTAACCCTGTGGTTTTGGTGTAGCCTAGGCCTAGATCTAGATCTAGATCTAATTTGGGCTGTGAATGAAATAGTAATGAAAAGTGTGTTCATAACAACGTTGACACAAACTTATGTGTAAAGAAAGCTACTTTCGTCAGCTGGCCTGGGGTTTTATTTTGAGACAGAAAACAACATTGAATCCGAAAGCGAAAGTACGGAAAGTGTGGCTTCCTTACCCTTGCCTTTCCTTGATTGAGAGAAAACAAAACAATTATACAAAACAAATAATTGGTATCAAACCAGTAAAAACGTGTTAGTATATAAAAAGACTTACTCAATTTTCCATATACGACACGTCAACTAATATCTCACACTTTGGGATATATTCACACAAAGTCAGCCTTTATTGTTGGATTGTAGAAGTAAACAATGACGCAAAATGAATGCAAACTCAATTTCCGTTTCCGTTCCGGAAAGATAAGTGAATTCCCACCCCCCCAAAAAAGACCCTAGGTCAACATCCAAAATGTAATACAATGTAATACCAAATAACACTCGGTAGCCTACATGTAGTAATACTACGTAGCATCATAACAAGCACTGTATTTTGAATTTTTAAAAAGAAAAAAATTAATGTGGGCGTTTTTAGGAACCCATCGACACAATTTAGGTTGCCGTCATCCGACCCTGCCTGTCAAGGCAAACCTGGGCTGAGAGGGATATAATAGGATTAATAGGTCTGTCTTAGCGTAAAGACCAAGAAACCATATTATAGGCCTACTCTATAAAAATTATTTGGTTTTAATCTTCCCACTTGGGAATCGAACTCAGGTCTCTTTCCTACAACAGTGTAAGTGTCTAACTACTACACCACAGACACAAATTAACGTGATTTGTTAACAAGAGTCAAATTGTGTGTGGCGGGGGCAGGAATTATAGAACGTTTAATAATTTTAGTTAGGACAAAGCCAGTCATAACGTTAGGTACAGCAAGGATAATGACAAGTTTAAATTTCGAGTTTATTGTGCCTCAATAATTTCGTTTAGGTGATCGTGGAGTTTCACTTTTTTTTATCTGAATACACTAGGCCTATTATGTTCCGCCTCTTTACAAAAATTATGATTTTTGTTGTTTTTGATTTTAGACAAATCAGTAAATCTAACTCTTAAGTGAAGAAAACCTGGTGGGGCTGAAGCTGCAAGCAAAGCGAGCCCCACCCCACAAGACGCCACTGATACTCAGCCCTCCAGTAATTAAACATCAGCCTGCTCTTTTGGAGAACTTTTCGGATCCCTGATCTTTCTTCCTCTCCCTCTAAACTCTGAGGGCCTATATTCTATTTTTTGTTCATTTTAGATCTTAATTAATTTTTAATTAATAATGAATGGTTTCTGAACAAAAGAGGAAACGGACGCGAAGAGTTAAAGCACGGGATTACAACATTATTTTTGGCAAAGTGATCCCCCCCCCCTCTCTCTCTCTCTCTCTCTCTCTCTCTCTCTCTCTCTCTCTCTCTCTCTCTCTCTCTCTCTCTCTCTCTCTCTCTCCTTCTCTCTCTCTCTCTCTCTCTCTCTCTCCCTCTCTCTCTCTGTCTCTGTCTCACTCTTTCTCTCTCTCTCTCTCTCTCTCTCTCTCTCTCTCTCTCTCTCTCTCTCTCTCTCTCCCTCCCCCTCTCTCTCTCTCTCTCTCTCTCTATCTATCTATCTATCTATCTATCTATCTATCTATCTATCTATCTATCTATCTATCTATCTATCTATCTATCTATCTATCTATCTATCCATCTCTCTTTTCTTTCTCTCTCTCTCTCCCTCTATCTATCTATCTATCTATCTATCTATCTATCTATCTATCTATCTATCTATCTATCTATCTATCTATCTATCTATCTATCTATCTATCTATCTATCTCTTTTTTTCTCTCTTTCTCTCTCTCTCACACACACACACACACACACACACACACACACACAAACAAACACACACTCACGCACATACGTACGTACACACAAAGACAAACACGCACACACACACACACACACACACACACACACACACACACACACACACACACACACACATACCTAGACACACATACTCACCAGTGACGTCGGGTGGGTTTTTAAGAGGAGGGGGGGGGGGGGCCTTGCCGTGACCAAATTATATTGAGATCGCTCAGATAATTAAAAAGGAAACAAAATTACTGAAAAGACAGTTAAACACGCATATCCTTATTAAGGCAACATGAAAATATAAATAGGAAGATTCAAAAGTTTAACAAACTTTTTAGTGGCAATAAAAAAACACGTTTGAAAACAGGAAAATGAAATCATATTATTTACATGTAGGCCTACATGAGTTGAGGCCTTCGGTCTTTATATGTAGAGCAATTTGATTATGTCGGACCTAGGCCTTCTCTGAGGAAGCCTAGTGTTGGACCTATACACACTACACACACAATCTAACTCCACTGAAATAATCACGCAACTTAAGAAAACACACAGAGTTGAAGTAGGGGGGCGGGGGGGGGGGGGGGGGCGTGCTCTAGAGCTGCGAGGATGTGCAAGTCTGCAAGCTAGGGCAAGAGTCTAGCCATGCCCCTGAGCCATGCGCGGTTTCAGCCCCTGAGCTAGTATAATAGTATAATATAGAACCACCCGTTTCTTTGTCTCAACCTTGAGGCATGCAAGGAACATATTATTCCAGTTTTATTAAGTCTGTGGAAACTTAAGCGCTGGGCAGAAGCCAATGAAATTTCACTCTTCCCGTCTGGTTGGATGGAGCTTCAGACGTAATTTAGTAAATAGACACACAGACCAATCAGCACTTTAAATTTCGAGTTATTGTGCCTCAGGAATTTCGTTTAGGTGCTCGTGGAGTTTCACTTTTTTAAAAAAAATCTGAATACACTAGGCCTATGATGTTCCGCCTCTTTAAAGAAAATGTGAAATTTTTTGTTTCGATTTTAGACAGATGAGTAGATCTAGATCTAACTCTTAAGTGAAGAAAACCTGGTGGGGCTGAAGCTGCAAGCAAGCCCCACCCCACAAGACGCAAAGACGCAAAGACGCCACTGATACTCACCCCCCCCCCCCCCCCCCCTCTTTAAAATAACTATAGTTTGAAATTGCCTTTTTTTTTAAAGAGGGGGTTTTTCCCCGCGGCAAAGGTTTTGCTTTTTTTTTTCATGGGGGGGGTTAACTCATCTTCCCCTCTCTGCCCCCCCCCCCCATCTCTCTCTCACCCCCCCTCTCTGTCTCCCCCTGAGTCTAAGTTACACGCGGGCCCACTTGTTACCAAAACCCTTGCCCAGTGGCCCCTGCGGTCTGCCCACCGAGTGAGGATTCCTGTTTTGTGTGTGTATATTATGTATTGTGTAGAGTATCGACAGTAGAAGGTCAACAAGTTTTAAGTATATAAAAATAATCTTCATTTGTTCACGACTGATAAGAGTGAGCATGGACAGCAAGGTGATAGGACGTTTTTAGGGAGGGCGAAAGGGGGAAGGAAGGTTTGGTTGGGGGGCGGGTACATACATTTGAGAGATAAAAGAGGCAAGCTCTTGCTCGTCGAGAGGACCGATTTGTCTCTTCCAGCAGTCCCCGAAAATTGCCGAAAGTCACATGACACCTCAAGCTGATCAAGATGGAGGAGGTGGACCGTATTATTGTTCACTCATTGCGATCTATTGGCTGGTATGTATGATAAACCTTGATGTGTATTGTTTGTTTTGTCTTTTACTGTATGTTTCCTTTTGCTAACATCGTTGTCCGTGCAATTTGATTTTTCTGCAATATTTTAGTGGTGCATTTTGCTTGGTAGAGTCTAGATTCTAGCAATGACCCATTCGCGCAGCAGTATAAAAATAAGAATAATATACTTTACCTACCCTATTCCTACAGAAAGTGTATTTTGGCTGTCCCTTGTATATTCTTCTTGTCTTGGTAAGATTGAAGAATACCGGACCAGCGGTCTGACTTTGCCTATGTCCCAACCTTAGGAATTCATATAATCTGGGACCGGTAGATCTGTTCGTTAAAATTTTGTCAGGGGGGAGACCCCCCTGAACCCCCCCCTCCCCCCTCCTCCACTCCAACCACCCGCCCCACCAGCCCCACTTTCTCGCACAATAATGTACGAGTGGTCCGGTATTCTTCAATCTTCCCTTTGTCTTGTTTGCAGGACTGTAAAGCAAAACTTTGGTTTTTGGGAATGTAAATGACGTTCCTGCGATCCTTTCCATTCCTTTTTAACCCTTTCAGCGGGGAATTATTTCTGAACTCCATGGCCACCGTGGTCCTTCAGCTGCAGATGATTTTTTTGGCCTGCTAATGATCGGTGTGATTATTTATTCATCGGGAACAGACATGATGATCCTGTGGAGCCTCAGCCCTGGCCCCTCTTGAAGGGTCTTTTCCAGAAGAGATTGGTTTTCAGTACCCTCCAACGCTGATCCGACATTTCCCGTTCACAGCAATTTTATGCAAACTGCAAAGATGCATTGGTCCAAAAACAATAAGAAAGAGAACCACGTGGCATTCTGAAAAAGAAAAAGACCCACAATTACGATGTATGGTACTCGCATTCATGCTAGAGTAGAAGGACATCGTCCAAATACGGGATCTTGAACGGACCCGTGTCCCAATATACAGCCTAAAAACTGACACAAGGTAATGTCAGAAAAAGCATAAAAACAGAAAGCGGATAGTTAGAGAGCGTCAGATGTACACCATTGGCTGATATTTATAGTAACAGCTGTCTTGTTTTTGTAATAAAATAGTGTCTTTCATTCAGTGTTTCACCAGTGAGGTGGGTTTGGGATGCTGTATCCTTGTTGTTACCCCTGCCCTTGAGACATTCAAACTGATGATATTGTAATTGGTCGTCACGTAGCCTAGTTGTAGTCTAGTAGACTGATTTCTTGGAGCTTCGAAACCCGATTTTAATCTATATTAGACCACACTTTCAATATAATCAGAACCACACTTTTGACCTTTTTGTTTTCGGAGTGTCTACGTACACGGTAACCGGGCACCTAGTCTCAGTTTCTACGTACACGGTAACCGGAATGAAAATAAATCAATATTTGTCCTGTGCTGTCACTTGTTGAAAAAAAAGAAAGTCATACAAGCGTCTAGTCGAGCTCGCCATCGTGACCAGTCAGTGAACCTGCGCGTGTGCATCACATTGTGAGTACCGGTTGGGGTCACAAAAGTTCATTCAAAGTCTGTGCGCTGTGAAGTATAGGGCTCCGGAATGGGGGGGGATTATTGATTTTTTTTTTTACGGTATAGTCGGGGGAGGGGTGGGGATGAAGGCAACACCGGATGACAAAAACTGAACTTGGAGTTCTGAACTGCCCGGTTTCCATGTATGTGACACTGAGACTACGTACGTTGCCGGTTACGGTGTACGTAGATATTGAGGCTACATGCCCGGTTACTGTGTACATGACACTGAGACTAGGCTACGTGCCCTGTTGCCGGTTACCATGTACCTAGACACTGAGGCTAGGTGCCCGGTTACGGTGTACATAGACACTCCGTTTTGTTTTTTTGTCTGTTCCTTATTCTTTTAACTTTTAAAAACCCGTGACCTTGCCGCTATTGGTCTACAGAACCTTAGCTCCTGTGTGTCAAGTGTTAGATACACATCTCTTGTTTTCGGTTCCCAGTAAAAATAAATAAAGACAGTCATAGTCATGTTCAGGCATGTGCTGGGATCCATTGCATTTATAATGTAGACATTTTTGTTGTTGTCTGTTTTCAAATCATTAATAATGTGAGGGTTTGATCTCTCATTAATTGTATTTTTACCCTCCACAAAACGAATGTCATCATACTGATGTGTTTCTCCATGCTTTAATAAAATCACACCCATCCTCCCCCCC